CTTCATGGTTGCATCTTTCTTCGCGCATGCTCTTGTTCAACTTGATCCCGGGATCTTGCGGTGTCTTGACACGGTTGCTGTTCTCCATAAGGAACCATTTTAGTATATCTGTGACAAACCTGGTTTAACAAATGGAAATATTGCTACTGATGACATCTTGATCAATCTTGATAACCAAAAAGTACTTCAGACGGTCGAAGTCTGTACTCTCGAATCGTTTTATTAGCGCCTTCTTTGTCATTTTAAGCATTTTGTTGTTGCTGCATGCGACAACCAAATCATCGACATGAATCGTCACAAAAAATACGCCTTGGCCGCCCCACTAGGCTTAGATACAGCGATCTGTCTTGCACTTCTAGAACCCTATCTTGAGTTAACTCGTAGATGGTTTTATTCCAAATACGTGGGGACTGCTTCAAACTGTAGAGAGAGAGCGCTTGATCTGACAGACATAGTCTACTTCAACTTCGTCGATGTTCCGTCGGGTTGCGCCATGTCAATTTCTTCTACGAGAAGTCCGTCAAGTGAAAAGCTGTCTTCTTGTCCATTTGTTGCAACTAAAACTGATTTTTGACCGAAAAATTGAGCCATATCTGGATCAACTTGACGTCCGCCACCCGAGCAGTCGTTTTTCATAGTCGACACCATACTTCTGCGAAACCCTTGTCCACTAGTCGCGCCTTAAATAGCTCGATCTCGCCAGATCGATTTTTCTCGATCCGAAAGACCCATCGACAACCGATCACCTTGCGAACTTGTGGAAGCAGCACTATTTTTTTAAATGTCTTGTTCTTGTGCAATGATGCCACTTCGTAGTCGCAGGCAACCTTCCACTTGGCCGCGTTGCTTTATTTTATCGCTGAATTGAGCGTAGTCGGCATTTCCACCACTGAATTAACAATGTATGCAGGTTTAAATCTTGAGCCGTCACACATACTGCATCTAGTGATGGATGAAGACTTTGCTTCTTGGTCCGGGGAATCTGTACTGCCTGTTCAAGTGACCGATTTCGTTGATGCTGCTTGCTAACAGACTCATATTCGACGTCTGGTGGGTTTAAGGATGCGAATACTTAGGCAGCTTGGCATACAATCTTAATAAGACGCAGCGTCATCAGTGTATTTTTCAGTCTCATCAGTTTAAGACGAAGTTTCATCGACCACCATATTATCGTGAGCGACGACTGTGCTACTGTGCTTTACTTGTATTAAAGAATTCCTTCATAAATCGCGCATCACGACTCGCCCTCACACGGCGTTTATTCAAGTCTTCGAATAGATAAGATTTTTCATGCTACGAATAGCCAAGACTTTGACAGAGCACCGAGCGAGCTTCAAATACCGAGCGCTTTCACTTGGTAACTTGGAAGTACGCATGGCAACCGGAAACCTTTAGGCTCGCTAACAGAGGTTTATTAACAGTCCAAACTTGGTACAGTGACATGTCAAGACCGACCGCACGTAATGGACATCTATTGCGTAGAAACGTTGCAGTCATGACAGCTTTTCCCCAATACGACTTCGAAAAACCAGCGTACTTCAGCATGCAGCAACCACATTCGACCAATGTGCGGCTCATGAGCTCGGCAACACCGTTCAGCTGAGGAGTGTAAGGAGGCGTATATTTCTATGCAATGCCGCATTCGGCACAGAATCTGGCCATCAAACCAAAAATTTATTTGCCGCCGTTGTCACACCGAAGCGATTTTACTCACATACTTGTTTTTTCGGCCAGCGCTAAGAAGTGAGCAAATTTGTCAGCTACTTCTGACTTGTTCTTTAGCAGTTAGTTTACACAGTAATGCTACTTCTTGTCATTAAAAGTGAAGAAGTGGCGCTTGCCACACAATGTAGCGGTCTGCATCGGGATACAGATGTCGCTGCGGATGACTTCGAGCACCACATTGGTCCATTTTGGGGGAACGCTTCATGAAGTTGACTCGCTTCTGCTTGTCTATTTCTTAGTCATCACGCAGTTCCCACTTGCGCAGTGATGTCAACTTAATACGAGTGCCAACGCCTTTATTGACTATGATAGAAAGACCGTCATAGCCAACGTGTCCTATTCGGAGGGTCAGAGGTACAAAGTGGTGTCCCCATGACATCCCAAAATGATAGTCATGTTTTCTCGCTCACCAGAAGAGGCTCCATACTCAACTTCAATAATTCTTCGCCTTCGGGCGCACCAAGCCTCCAACAAAGACCTTTCGCTGCAGCGAAGCACCCACCTTTCTCGAACGTGACCGGAATAGCATCCTTGATAAAACGACTCACGAAAAAAAATTGCGTCCAGTTTAGGAATGTATCACACTGATGTAAGCACACCCTTTTTCACTCCTCGTAGCTTTCTCATCGACATGATGATGTAGCCCTTCCCAACCGATTAAATTACACCTTCGTCTGTAAGGTGCACGTCCACAGGGTTGATCTACTTGAAATTCTTCATAAAACCTATTAAGAATTTCATGTGATGTGTCGCACGCGAGTCAACCAGCCACACGCATCTTGCTTCGTCAGAGCATGCGACCTCTCCAACCAAAAACAGGTAGTCGCCTTGGTCATCGTTGCTCTGCGCAAGGTTGGCATAGTGCAACTCTTGTCGTCCTGCGCACTCCCGGATACAATCTAAACGCTTGGCGATTTAATGTATGTGATTCTCACAGTAAGGGTGGCGCTAATGATATTCTCTAGCGCTTGTCGTCCAGTGTTCCGGCCAGTGTCTTGGGTCACAAACGCTTGACCTTGTCCGTGTTCCCCTCAATACCTTTTTCTTTACACTTGAGATCCTCGTGAAGCATCCAAGACGTGACGAACTCCCACAACAGCAATTTTACTCTTGACTCTAACGCCGTAATGAGGAATTTGTACGACTTGATGAGACTTGCGAGGAGCGTAATCACCAGGTGGTCCTCGCTGACTGGCGCGCCTCCTACGTCAAGTGACTAATCCCAGCGTCTTGATCTTGTTAATATGTTGCAACACGTCCTCTACTTCTTCTATCATGGCATAAAAAGCGTCGACGAAGAAAGAGCTTAGTTGCAAGACTCTTCTTCTCGAAATGTTCTCCCAGCCGCGACCATGCATTTTGCACTCCACTCGACGACCGGACCAACGGCAGCTGCAAATGATCCATCGCGAGACATATGGTTGACAGTGCCTCGTGGGACTTGCGGTTGAACGTAGTCCGGTCCAACTGCGTGACGCACTGTTTCATCTTGATCTGTCTGCCCATCATTTCCCATATGCCATGCTCCTCCAGCACCACCTGCATAGTGAACTTATACGTGCGGAAGTTTGTTCCGTCGAACTAGTTGATGCATTTGGGTGCGGAGGAGTCTGTGGAGAGGGCGAAGTCCAGGTCGAAGTTAAGGAAGACGAGGATTAGGCTTATAACCTCTTTAAAAAGTCGGGTGATCGATGGTGGGCTAGATGCAAAGTGAATAAATTTATGGTCCTTAGCTTGCAATCCCTTTTGCTAGTCCAATCCTACTGGATTCGTCGACTTCACAATCAAAATCTCTATATCGTGCGTCACTATTAGCTACGTCGTGCATCACTAATCGCTACGTCACGCATTAGTTTTCGTCAAAACACACCTCAAGTGTATCACTTCGTGGCCGAGGCATTTCTCCAACGACAAAATACATGTTGTTTAGCTCTTGTTTTTTGCAATCTTAATAACTTGTTGGTATATTTAAAAGCTTTTTACTACACTTCCGACACAAAAAAGTTTACGATTATTCCAGAACGCGTCGACTGCAATTGTAACATCTTATTGGTAAAGCGTTGTATAACATCCTTGACTATCACAGGTGGCATGATCCGACGTCGAAATAGTCGCCACCGCTCAGGGTCCGAAATAAAATGTAGCTCGTCCTTTTTGAGACTGGATAGGCGCAGAGCATAACCATTTCTAGATCGAGATGTGCTCCCCACGTTTTGTCAAGGATAAATTGCACACATCTTTTCAATGGAACAAAATTGAGATTGCGAAATACCGCACACCAATAAAAAATGTACTGTCAACTAGCCTTGTCTGCTTTTACAAGCGGACATTATACACTTGGAGTCAACGTCTCTGCTTTCGTTAAATTAATCCACATTAACACCTGAGCTGCGCACGAAAGCGTGACGCAATGCCACAACTGCCCTCATGGTTATTGCCTTTTCTCCACAAAAGTATAATTTGCATCACTCACGAATTGTTAGTAGATCTTCTTCACGCTCAGTGAATATAAAAATTCCTTTAAGGCATATCAGCGCAGGCAGTTAAAACTGATTGGATACATCGTCGAAACGTCCTACAATCGAGGCTGTAGTACATTTGACATATGTTGCTAGGTTCGAATTTGGTGACCGCCATGGGCATTGAAGGGTCCGATATAGCGGTGGTCTCATGTACCTCTTATTCGGGTTCCCCTTCAGTAAGATTTTGGCAAACATTGATGTAGCAACCCAGTAGCCCATCAGATATAACTCGTTGCAGCTCAGTATCCAGACGTCTTGTCGATAGTTTGTACACACTTAAATTTTAGTCAATCATTTGTTCCACTTACAGCAGCACAATGAGGAGCATCACACGTAGATGCTTGAATAAGCTTGTTTGACCATCTTACTTCGCTGATACACTTTACAGAAACACTACATTGACAAACGCGAATTGATGTTTACAAAGTTACACACGTTTACCTTGACGTATCAGCGTTTTCCTGTTGATCTATTACGTCGCCTTGTTAACTGTCTGTCATTGTCAGAAAAGAATGCGCAAAAAATCGATGTAGCAGAGGCACAATTAATGCTTGTTGTTCTGTTCTAGCGATGCAAAAACAAATTCAAGGGTTTGTCTTGTTACCTTCTTCGTAAATCATTCTAATAGCGCACTCGCTAGGTCACAAAAGGATTGCGATACATGCACAGTCAATACCGCAAGCATGCGACTCCTACTAAACGTGAGCCACAACTGGATCACAAATACTAGCATATGCATCCTCGGATGTCACCCTAGCAGAAAAGAAACGTAGGTTTCGCAGCCTTTGGTTGACACATGCGCTCGGCTCGCTTGTTGCCCACAATACGTTGCAATCGCAACAGATCAAGACGCGTGAACAAAGCAATAGACGACTTGCCATCCATTGTATCAGTGAATCCATCATCAGTGTGCCCGGTAGTGTCGCCACTTGGCAGCATATTCATCATTTCGGCGTAAAAGTCTCCGATGACAGGCAGGCCGTACCAAATGAGCTGGTGCACACCCCGGATCTGGTACTGGTGATAAAAGTGGAAACGTTCAGTGTAGAGCATGACATGGCAATGCCCGTGAAAGAATGTCGTGCGAGCCCGAGACACCTGCTTGCTCGTTGTGTACTCACAGCACTGCACACTCCGAATCAACTTCTTGTTCATCGTATCATTAAAAAGGTTGCGCACGCGAACGTAGTCGAAATAGGACGGAATAAAGATCAGCACATTCTTCCGAGGATGGTCGAGCAGTGGCTCGAACACGTGTTTCTTGAAGTAATTGAAGCGTAACTCCACTTCGTCCATGGCAGTAAGGCGTTTGTGGTGTTCCAGGTCCACTCGCTGGAAAATCTGCTTCACCTGCGGCACGACGCGCGAGACGGAAGCGGTGCCATCCGCAGCATCGTAACAACGAACGAACTTTACGACACCAGATACGTTACGACACGTCTTGTTCATTAACGCATTCAAAGTCGGCTCCACGCCGTGAGCGAACAGAACGGTTTGTCGAAAGTACATGCCCAGAAACGCCAAGTTCCATTCACGCACACGTGCAAAGTCGGCATTCGGAGCTTCTTTTGGCTGCACGTTGGTAGCTCGCAACACGGTTCGCAGGTGCTCGAGGTTCTGCATGGTCATAAGACTTGCCGAGTCTACGATGCAGATCTCAATCGTCGACAAAAAGTCGCTCGAAAGCTTCACGTCAGCACTTGACTCAGCGTCATCAAGTACAGCAACTTCATCCCCAAGCTGTTGCCGCAGCCCGAGAGGCGAAGCAATAATGATGTCGGCGTGGTGATATTCGCTGTAGAAACGCACCGCCTTGCGCGAGAACGACACACCCAACTGGAAACAGTCATCATTATTGCCCTCATCAAACACGCGCTGCCACTCTTTCTTACCATCACGCTCATTCGCATCCTTCTCTTCATCTGTGTCTTTTACACTTCCGAACTCGCTAAAGAAGCGGTCCTTGTTGTGGAAAGTATCCATGTTTGCTGGTAGGAGCCGTAGCAATTGGTCTACAAACGCCATAGCTGCGCTACGAAGAGGCAGCAATACCAGCACAGTAGCACGACAAAAACCCTGGTCACGATACTCTCTATCTTCCTCCTCACTCGACTTTCCAGCCTCATGCTTTTTGATGCGCTCATTGTTCCGCGTGACAGTATCGCGAGCTTTAAGAACATGGTTCAGCACGTGCATAGCGCTCAATCGCCGCACCGTTGCCGTGTTCTCGTACGTCTGACCAGCAAAAATCACGTCCGCATATGCTGACATCACCTGAAAGAGCGTTCGCTCGACTGATTCCTCAGTACCCATTGTCTCCAAGTCTAGTCCACGCTGTTTCCATGTCACCGCTAGTCTCGACCGCACACAAGGCTTCTTTTTCACAGCCACGTCAGGAGCCATCACAACACCAGCAACGCCCTGTATGTCCATATCCGCTCCTTTCCTGTACGTGACATCATATCCCTCGTCTTCCAAAGTCGGCAACCCAACCTTCGTAAACTTTCTCCTCGTAGCATCAAACTTCGTTGCATCCTGCTCTGAGAAAGAACTTAGAAGAAACCTTCGTCGATACGGATCTTCTTGCTCCTCCTCCTCTTCGTGAATATCATCCACCCCTTCTTCATCGTCCTTCTCCATTGCAGCAATCTGCTCTTCACACTCCTTCTCCAATGCATCAGCACCATTTACACCATCCTTCTCCTCCTCCTTTCCGTCTTCTTCTACTACCTCCGCGTCGTCCTCAACAACAATCTCTCCATTCTCGTCGACCATCACCTCCTCATCCTCGGGCTCCTCTTCGACTCCGTGGTCTTTAGCATCCCTCTTGAACGTATCCACAAACTCGTCAAACAGCGATTTCTTCTTCTTCCCATCTAGAGCTTCATCATCCTCCTCGCCCTCACTTGCTTCACTCTCGAGCGTGTCCTTCACCATCGCGATCTCGTCTTCGACCACGTCTTTTGACTTGTAAATTGCATTGAACGTGCGCGCTCGCGTCTCCTCGTACCGCTCTCTCTGCCAGCGCTTTTTCTCATCCACCGAAGCAAAGAATTTGCGCTCTTTCGAGCGCTCCCGAACCTTCTGCGTCTTCCATTGGCCCATCATCGACCCTCTCGACCTCACTGAGCTCCGCTTTTTCGCGTCAGTTTCGCTTGGCACTGCATCCTGTTTGTCCTTCGGTTCTGCATCGTCCCATACAGTCGCTTTCCGCTTGCGGCTGCCCTTCTTTTTCTTGTCTCCTCCCTTACGCGGAGGTCCCATGCTAGTCACTCGACGATGAGGTGATGTGTAACTTCACGAAATGACTGGCTGTCGATTCCTGTCTGTTGATTGGATGAATAGAGATGTGAGTACACGCTGAGCCAATGACAATCGTTTGCAACGACATGAAAAACGACTTATTCAGAAGGAGATGGGCAGCGTGCAACTATTTCGTACAACATGGCTACACTTCAGGTGTCTATGCGAGAAACTAATTCTGGGTAGTTTACGGATCGAAAAGAGACTTTGCTTATAAGAATGGAACAATAATGGTGGTGGTGATGCACACGTCATATGTTGAGACGCCTGTTTTGTCAGTGACAACTTCTTCGGTCGAAGTATGAAGATTTGAGATAATTGACGACTCAGCAAACAAGATTTGATGTTTTGTGTTCCAGAGTTGAACATAATGACTTACGTGTTCCCATCGCACCTGAACAACTGCTGAAGCGTAGGGTAATTCAATCACGTTTGACGGAGTCGATAGTATGTAGTAACTAAAGCTGTCACGATTTTGCAGCAGTTTTTTTATTGTCGCAACTAGGGACCATGATCGGTATGTGGGTTGGCTGCAGGTTGTCAAAGTCGAAGACTTTTGCTTTCGATCGTCGCGTTGGAATTGTCCGAGTTCTGCAGCTCCGACTCGAGGGGCTGACGACTGGCATTCGTGACGGGACCGTACTCGGCGAGCCTGCTAAAACACATCTGTAGCCAGCAGCAATCCATTGTTTGTTGAACGCTTCTGCTAATATCGTACAAACCAACGTCTTAGATAACTTTTCCAGACTGACTTGCATCCGCCCATGGCTGCAGCACATCAAATACATTCATCGCAGGCAGTCTGTTTCCATCAACAGTTCTTTATCAAATCATAACAATTTGGTGCCGATCCACAATGGCAAATCAAGCTACAATCTAGCCACATCATCCAGTCGATCTCAAGTACTTGCATTCCTTCTTGCTTACTGACAGTATACCATGGAAACAGGACGAATCCTGGTCTATTTCTTCGCCCATATCCAAGGTCCTTTGGGAGTACCCTGAGGGCCTACTGACAAGCCCCAATCCTTTACTCCTCATCGTCGTCATCGTCTTCATCGGCTGAATGATCGTCCTGTTCACTCGAGGACGATGAAAACTTGTCCACGTTGGAAGATACTGAGACTTTACGTCGACCCGACATGATCTTACTTACGCCGTTGCTATCACTTTCCGGATATACACGACACCCTCGTTCTAAACACTTCATTCGTACTTTTTCATGGTCTTCCATAAACGTTACAAGCGCTGATGCTGGCGGTGCTATCTCCGCGCCATTGTTATACATCAGCAGTAATTCGTTTAATTGCTCGGCTACCGACTCGCGAAACTCTGGCGTCAGGAATCTACGAGCACGACTCGATTTAGGTATCGTGTCACGCTGGCCGTAAAGGAGCAAACTCATGGCTAGCGCGACGTCGGTTGTGTCCCCACTTTGCTTCTGTGCTCCACTGTTGAGGCCTGGTCTTTTACGCTTTCCTTTAGTCGTGATCTCGCTAGAAGACCCAAATACCTGTCGTGCAAACTCAATCGCCATTTCGGAATTCCATCCATTGCATCTGCCTTTCTCGATTGTCATCAACTCTGATGCGCCATTCAATGCTAGCGACGAAGAAGCGACTATCTTTGCCTCCCCTCCATGGGTCAAGATGTCGACAACACACAGGATCCGACATGACTGTATGATTTTTCTCATTCGGCAAAAATAGCGGCCTGTCTGAATTGTCGCGAGTGCAGGCTCATGTTGCTCGAGCAATGCTAATGCCTGTGCTGTACGACAGCAACGAATGTGCTCGCGCACTTCATGGCGTAAGCTCAGAGACTCACGCATCTGTTTCTTCTTGACAAAGTGCAAACTCGACTGCGCGTGACTGAACTTCACGACTTCTCGTTCATGATCACCGTCCATATCTCCAGCGCTGCTCACAACACTTGCTTCAGCTTCATTCTTGCTGACTACTTCCATACCGCCTGACGACAGACATTGCCGTTTCGAAGGCTCAAGGGCTGCTTTAAACGTCTCGTACGCACTTTCGTAGCCATGATACAGAAGAAAATCCTGCACGAGTTCATTTACTCTACTTTCGGTCTTGCGCTCGGAATGATCAGTTTCACTTCCATTGCCACTTTTTCTGCGTCTTTCACGATCTGCTATCAATGCCTCTTGGCGATTTTTTTGGATCTGCCGTTCAAATTTTGGCAAATCAAACAGAAAAGCGTCAGCTTTGAATACTGCGCGTACACATTCGCCCACACCGTGAAGGCTTACACACGGGTACAGTACATTCTTGACCTCACAATGGTCACCGGTCTCTTCCGTATCAGCAACATCGATACTGTCCAGTGTGGTCCGCGTGCCTTCGTCAGCCACCACACCGTCCTTTTTATCTTCGCCGTAAGACTCCGAGTCATCTGCGCCACTCTTTTCTTCTTCCAAGTCCGAATCTTCTCCAAAATTGTCCAAATTACGTACATCCGCAGCTGCCAGCAGGCCTACTAAGCTGCCATTCCGCGTAAAAAAGAATGTATTCGTGTCAAAGAGAATTCCACACCCCACGACGTCTCCAGCTCCATATCGTTGACATTGTAGATACTTTTGTTGATGAGAGACCACATGACCAGTTTTGCCCACGTATGCCACCGAATTAACCATTTGTTGCAAATCTTCATGAAAAATCGCAGGCCGCGTCTTTGTCTTATACTTTGCAATTCCCTTTTTCGACTCGCCTCCAACCACCATGTCCGATATTGTTCCTCGCATTGTTTGCTTGACTTCCACACGTGGCACTCTAGCGTCCAAAACACTGTCCGACCTAGAATAACTCGTACTTGACGAGTAATGTTGATCCCAAGCCGCACTTTTACGCTCTTCCTTGTCCAATACAATAAATCCGACTGCAATTTCGTGTTTAAACTTTTTTTTGTCCTTGCTAAGTCTGACTTGGCGTCGATTAATAATGGACTGCAGTTGCTCAGCCCACTGAGCCGTAGAAGATACACTAAACCTCATCGGTCTTTCCACAGGCATCAAGTCAGTACTGGTAGAACTCAACATGTCTTCAGTGTTTCTAGACTGAAGGCTTGGACTTCGTCTCCAGCTTTGAGCCGATGGCATATCTGCGTCTTGATGTTGTGCTACAACAGTGCGATCGATCGTCGGCGACGCTTGTGTATTAAGTCTCGCAGGTAGCGAATTAGCTGCTAATTCGGGGGTGGGGGATGTAGCCATAATCCGAGTTTCATAGTAGAAGATGCGGGGCAATGTAAATGGCGCACTAGCTGCTGCTGCACGACTCGAGCGGAAGCAAGCAGCGTCTGCACGATGTACAGCGCGTCCTACATACTTGGCAGTGCAGCGATCGGCGTGTAAAAGACCCTCAGTGGCCACGGATCGAGAGTCCATGTTCCGTGAGAGCGGAATCAGATGCTTGTCCGAATAAACGAGACTGTATGTGATAGTAGAGAGGTACGCTGTATGCTAGTAGAGAGGTACCGGAAAAAGAGTTGTACCGGTATCTTGAGAAGAATTGTGTCTAAATCCACCCAAAGTGGTAGGTGCATCATCTAATGTGTGTTGATCGTCAGACCTCATACCAAGCGTTGGCGTCTGAGCGCAAATATGGGCGTCAGTACTTCTGATTGTAGCATTTCTGTCTACTGCACTTTTGTTCGCCTTGCTAGGATGCTATACGTCTCATGACGACTTGTAGCTGACGACTTGGGTTCACGATACGATTAGCGATCGTTCACAGATGTGAAGTACCGCCAAGTGGACATTGTAAAGCTAACTTCTCTTACAAGGCAACCAGCAGATTATTCACTTAGTCGATGGTCGCTGGAACAGCCTGCGAAATTGAAAAGTAAGTTCCTGTATTGTATTCAACCGAGATGCTGCACGTTTGTGCAAATACGAGTCTATCGGAATGCCCTAGCGAAACATCCTTACCGGTCAACTTGTTTCGGTTACAGGTATGACATGATCAGGTCACACTTTCACCCGAAAGAAATTGGTCGCCAATCTAGGTCCCTTTAGCATTACGGGTGCTGTTTAGCTTGTACACAGTCGGGCATTGTGGCATACCGTTCTCCAACAAAAGCATCTTCAGCTCATAAAAAAAGTCCAGCGATGCTGCTACGTTCTCACAGTACGATGTGCTTTTTTGTATCGATGATGCACTTACTTGATTCCTTCAATCAGTCTTTCTGGCCTTGGACGCACTTGCACAACTTCTGAGCTAACGAAATCACTTGCGGTCGCTGAAGCGTTGACTACGACGTCCTCTAAAGCGGTTTCTCCCGTACAAAGAAGCTATGTGCGATTTTATCCATTTTTGCCATGCGGCGCATTTTACTGTAATCTCATTCGATGGTATGCTCGCTACATTTCGAAAAGCACTTTGGAAAAGCACTGACAAAGTGACGTTTATAAGTAGATGAAAGTGATATGCTCATCCATAAATGCTTAGTAAATCAGTCGTCATGTAGTGTTATATCAAACCGAGGGATTCTCGCCAGAAAAGTGACGGGATTTACGAGAAAATGAGAGGATATTGTCGGTTGTCGATAGAATATGGAATGTGCGATAGTTTTATCCAACACTAGAACCTCCGCTACCGCTCTTCAACACAGTACTAGTGGTTTTCTAGATGTTGTAAGGGTACCTCCGAATGAGATTGAAGTGAAATACATCGCATGGTAAAAGTCAATCAGATTGCGCGTACCTTGTCAGACTGCACCAACCACATGGAATAACGGAGCTGCGCTTAGGTAAACTTTGAAATTGGAAACAAGGCCACACAGCTTATTCGACACCAATGTTTACCGCAAACAAGCGGTGCGTGATGATAAAGGACAGCGAATGATCAAACAAGTGCGACTGTGATGATTACGACCAAGGAATAATACAGCATCTTGGCCTGAATTCATTCAGTCACCGGCTACTTCTACATCGAGTTGAGGAAGAGAATCTCAGACGTGCGTAGATTACGATTACCGTTTTAAATAAACCCCACGGTAATGCTTGGTACACGCTCTGTTCAAATACCTTGGATCGGCTCAACTGAATGCCCAACAGATTGGAATTAAAAATGAAACTAATACGATGACTTGTGGTGTCTTCAGTCACTTTTTGAGTCTTTACACTGAAGAGAATGATCTAGACATTTGCAAGAGAAATCAATCTGCTGTAGAGGTTTTTAATTTTATTTCAACAAAAGCAAATTGGTCAAGTAAATAGTATTGAATGTGTATGTGTTTCAAGTCGTCTCCACACTAAACCAGGAGGTGCCAGTACTACGTTAAGATAGTTCCTTATGAGATAAGCAGGTTGACTGTACTAATGATCAGTCTCATACGCAAAATCATAGCACATGATGTCGAAACTTTGTCATTCAAATGATGTATGTGTGTGAGTGAGGCCCATATTTAGTTTGCACTGACATTCACCAGCGCGACTGGAAGTTTTTTTGGTGGTTCGGCCTTATTCTCCGACTCTTTTGGTTTGAGTGCAATTCCACCTTTGTGAATTGTGCTTAATGTGCTTTGTATCGGGTTGAAATGGTTAACGGTTAAGGAAAAGAAAAAGAGGAAACGGTTGCTGTGACGAAAATGGAGGTTTTGCAAAGTAAATCACATGTTTTCTAAATTGCTTTGTAGACCGAGTATTGTAACATTCATCAATTTCTACGTTCGCAAAATGTTGATCACCGCACAAAAATGATAGATGAGAGACCTTCCACAATGTGAAGTCCAATAATGACATCAAATCACCGCTTGGCGAGTTTGGTGGCCTATGGGTAGCGACGCCAGTGCCAATTATGCTTTGTAAAAATGCAACTATACTGCGGAAAGTCTCTTGGTGATTTGGACAGCCCTCTCACTGCCCACGCTGCGCGACTCAAACCGTCCTCACGGCCTATACTTTCTCACCGATAGCTGAAGAAGAGTGCGAGAGGGAGCCGAGATCTGAACGCGCATCTAAGCTGTTTCCGGTTAAGACGACCGATCTTTGGCTAATAAAGGGCTCTTTCGTCAACTCCAACATCAAGGACGCGTTTACACGCAAGTAGGATGCGAAGAAGATGATCCAATCGAGTAAAACGAGCTGCACATGGCGGGTTGTTACGACGGGGCGCGTTCGGGTAAGTTGAAAATGCTGGCCAATTTTTGGTTAATTTCTGTCACTTGCATCTGACGCAGTGCAAAGCTGAATACCATGAGTGACGAACATGGCGTGAGGTAGTCTCAAAAAAAGAATAACTTGATGTGGTCTTTCGCAGAGAGTCGATTGCACGAAGGAGTAGAAGTAGATGTTTCTACGAACCCAAGAGATTATTTAGAAGTATCCAGATGAATTTGCTGGCATTGCATTGGTAGGAACAGCTACATGAGTCAATTCTCGTGAGCAAGATGAATATATCATACGAAGGATTTCAGCAAGAGTTCGCCTTTTTGGCTAACGAACCCGACCTCATGCTACTTTCAATGGACGCTTTATTCAATGGCAGCCTATTTCCGGCTAATGAGCACAACCGTCGACTCAGATTTGCTGCCAGGAGAGCAAAACAAGTATCGCAGAGAAGATTTTATACCGTATAATCTTCATTTTAATTAATCGAATGCCGTCCCCACCGGAACAGACCTATGACACCTACGTAAATCTTTGTGCCTCCGTGAATGATGTTACTCGCACTCAAACGCACACCATCATATAGCAAGATCTACGGTTAGATGCAGTATTGGTTGAAGAGAGATCGCGACGAAACAATACGTCAGAAATTAAAAGAAAAGGGCAAGCGCAAAAGGGCCATGAAGATATGCGACTGTGAGTTCCAGCTAATTTGTTGGGTCAAAAACAATGTATTTTGGCATTTGTCGGTCAAGAATAAAAAGCACATTCATCCACCACCATCGATATAGCCGGACATGCTGCCGCACATTTTCCTACCAGAAACGAAGATCAAGGTGGAACTAGCTAATAAGGCGGGATATACACACAAGAGACTATAAAAGATCCGAGGATAGAGGACCCGGAGACGTTAAACTACTCCAGGACGATATACCATGATCAAGTTCGGATCCGGAAAGAGCACTTGACATGAAAGCAACCGATGGAGGCACCTCGTATAAATTCAGTCTAAAGAAATACCGCTTCCAGTACAAGTGTGATTGTAAAAAGGGCAAATTGCTCACTTCTATTTTGCTCATCCGACTGCGATAGATCTTATAAACTAATATGTACGTGCACAGTTGATGGATTGTATGTCCAAAACCAACAGAATTGGCATGCCTCTTCTGCACGTGGTGGGCCTTATCATCGTTTACACTTCATTCTCCGCGTGCGTTGATTTCTTGAGATATGAAGACACTAAATTGTACAAATGGGCGCAGGATTGTGTTGCGGAGTTTAATCAGCTCACAGGACGCCATGCTGCGCCTCTTGCCTCCCAATAAAGTACGGTTGCGACTGATTGCAATGATAATTTATCTGCCGCGATTGAGAGCGTATACATTTGATCAAAGAATATGGTATGTCGTTGGCATATTGCAAAGAATGCGTTCAAGAATTGTAGCCAATTTCTTTCCAATGAGATCCGGATAGGAGTGTACAAAGGATCTAGATGAGGTGGACATATCCAGCATTGTCAATTTTTGCTTTCTTGATAATTTTTGTTCTCTTGTATATCGTGAGGTCAGCCACAGAAGATGCATGGACTCAGGAACAAGGTGATTCTCCAAAGATATACTCCGAGAAGAAGAGGCACTTGACTACATTGCACGTCAGTGGAATCCTTTGATCACCCGCTTTGTCTAATCATTAACTAATTAATGTTCTCACCATAACAATGTGAACACGTCAAGAGTGGAAGGAGCCCATGCTGCATGTAAAAAGAATATCCGGGTATCAAATATGGACCTGTGGACTGTTCGCAATATTATTGAGCTTGATTTTCTTTATTCTTTAAATGAATTGAGAGCTGCAATTGTAGATTGTGCCATTAAAGTGTGGAATAATCATGAGGCCGATTCAATCCTAAATTGTTCTAACATTTCTCACGATGTGCGTTTGATAAAAGGTTACGAGCAATGCTGCTATTGGATAAATCAATATTGTGCGGAAAAAAAGCTCTAAGGCATTAATTACCTCATGAGGGATACCGTGCATGCACAAAATTGCCGCACAAAGATCTCAAGCGGAATACTACATATCGGTAACTTCCATGCGCAATAACACCTTCAACGTGTAAGGCTGTCAGCAAATTTGCTAACCTTGCTTCCGGAAGCGGGAAAGATATTGACATCGTGGCTTTAAAGACATTGCTAAAGTAATGCTACCTATGCATTGTTTCCTGCATCCTCATGAGAAGTTTGCCATGCAAAACCATCTTGCAGCGATGAGGTCGC